GCGGCCTGACCAAGTTTTAGCATGTGCGAGAGACTTGACCAAGTTTGGTCGTGACAGAGTCTAGGACTTGCAAGAGACTTGACCAAGTTTTAACATTTGCAAGAGACTTGACCAAGCTTTAGCGTTTGCAACAGGCTTGACCAAGTCTTTTGCGTTTGCCAGAGACTTGACGTGCACGCTTTGCTTAAAACTTTCGGGCCTGCAGGGGGTCTAGTTTTCAAGTTGAAAAAACACCGCCACCAAATACTATACTCTAACAGTATCTGACAAAAAGACTATCAAGCATTGAAACATGGCTTCGAATGTTGCAATGTTTTTCATTAGTTGATGAATATTGTGGCATGTTTGGGCCGGTCAGCCATTGTAAACGTTTGGGGTGGGATAGCGTATGTAAAAAACACAAATCCGCTAATATCCCTTGGACAGCCAGCCAACCCCTCAAGATATGGCATTCTCCTATCAAAGTAAAATATATTCAAATTAAATGTGTCGGCAGCCGGCAGCGTGTTGCTCATGTGATGTGCGCCCGGCCCATACCCTGCCTCGAACCCCTGCTGCCTCTACTGCTGATACTGCGAGACATGCTGCGAGGCACAGGATCTTCGCCATGGGGCGCCTCAGATTTTGGAGCCACGTCTCCAAGAAGGCTAAATGAGCTTTAGCTAAGTGATTTACTACTAGTAGCTAGAAGCTACTAGAAACAAGGGCATCGCTACTAGTAGCTTCTTGTTCCTAGTTGTGTCACGCACGTGGACCGCATCAGCCACGTCCTTCTGTATCAGCTCCCCACGGAACATCTTGGCTCATGGACTTACAACAAATCCTGCTTGGCCATCATCCAGTGCCCCCACGCGCCAGGACTAGGAATGGTGGTTGAATGGCCAATGGCCCCGAACCCTAATGAAGCAGATTCAGCAAAAAAGATGCACAGAATATTTATGCTGTGGCAACAAAGGCAGAAAAGAACATACACCCAGTACCCAGCTGTTGTCCTGGTTGAGTTCATATCGGAGTTCGCCCTTTTTCTTGCATGTCTTGCACATCGAGCTGAACGGAACCCTTTAACATCACCGGCTGCTGCGAGGCCGCTGACGGTTCGCTCATGGCACCTGAAAGGAACGAAACGTAGAGGAGGATTTGGAGGATTTGGGACCCAAATTGGCCAGAACCACCCCATGGAAAATGCATGTTTTTTTGGTTTTAGAGTTTTAGAGAGGTTTATACATATACATATATTTATATATGTGTGTGCATTTGTTTAAAGGGGGAGTAGGCCAAGTAGAGGTAGGTAGTAGCTAGAGGTAGGTAGCTAGTACCTACAAGTAGTTACTACTTGGGAATGCAGGATAGCTTACGCTCGCACTAATGATTTGGCTTCTAGATTTTTTTTTGGGAAACTTAACATTAGTCTATGAACGACTGCCAACTGTGAGTCAGAATATCTTGAAATCGTGACCATATCACGTGATGCTTTGTGACCCAGGGATGGATCAAAGCCGCCGCGTATACGGAACTAGCCACGTGCGCTTATCTCAATCTGCAGGAATTTGTAAAATGTCCAAGTGCAGGTCCAGTGCAAACAGGAGGAACATGGAGGAAGGCTGGGCAAATATCCATATGCATATGTATAGATATATACACACGGGTAATGGAGCATGATGGAGCATGTCATGTATATATTTATTTATAACTGAACCACTGAAGCACAAAGTTCCAGATGCGGCAAGCGCCCTGCACCTCCCAACCCTAAACCCTAAACCAAACAAAATCAAAACAGCAAACATCTAGATCAACGGTGCCCACACCATACCCCACTACAAAGCGCTGTTCCTCCAGTCGGACGGCCAAATGGATCTGGTCTGGTCCCGGTGTTTGACCCCTCTTGAGAGACGAAGGAACACAAGAAATAATGAACTTACTAGACTATATTTATATCACTTTATGCCAAATGCAATTACATAAGCACAAATCAACTGCCTGAAGCCATTGTGTGAAAGTGTTGTTGGGCATGTCATGTTGGAGTTGATTGGACCTCAAACATTGGAAGTCCTTCTGAGAGGCCTTCTGCTTTGATTGGTCAGGTCCTGTCAATATTTTTTCTTTTATCACACGTCTATTTTGAAGGAAACTTGCTTAGGATGCTTTAGGGTGAATCGATGGGTTCATATTGTTTTCAAAGGTGCTGGAGCATGGTGCATCTTCATTCGTGGATCCCATACTGCCACCGGGAAAAACACCCCAACTGACACCGAAGTTCTCACGATGTGACGTTCCCAACTCCACGTGTTGGCGAACCGGTGGCCGCCTGTGGCCGCCCTCTCGGTCAACCGCGCGCTGAGCTCGGCTGTGTAGCTACTGCTATCTGTATCGGTCAGATGTTGGAGGGCAAGTCTTGTGACATCGGTCGACTGCTTCGACTGCTGACGGTCTGATTCCAAGATTCAGATGGACAGGTCGACTGCTTGGACGGTCGTTTTCGTGTCCTTTGATTCTCTCAGCCAAAACGCCATCGATGGTTTGAGTCTGAGGTTGAACCTGGGTCCTACTCACACCATGCACACCTGAAATGGCTCCAAAATGCACCATCTTCGATGTGGTCAGCTGATGGCAGCCATCTGGACATCTGAAAATGTCTTTGATCGTCCCATGAGTCTCCAAAAGTGGCCCTGAAACGTTCGCTTCAATGGCAGCAACGCCCTAGGAAACCAGCCACAACCACGAAGCTGACAAGCCTGGTCAAAACCATCCGAAGACATCCAAAGACATAAATCTACGGCTTAAGAAAAAAACAACCAAATCAAACGCGTTGTTTTTCTAAGCATTTTGGTGCAGAAAAGTGTCCTTCACCCCGGCCTGGCCTTCACCCCAAGCAATGATGACTCCAAAGACATTGGCAGACTGTCTGCTAACGCCGTTAACAGCCGTTAACACCAAATAACATGTTCTGCACTCACAATGTCGCCCATCACATCCACCTCCGGCTGACCCCCACCCAAAGAGACGCACCTTCAGAACATCAGAACTTTGCCTGTAGATCTGACTCACACAGCGAGCCGGTGGCTATTGTCAAATATTGTATATGTGCAATTGTGGTTGTCGTTGTTTTTCTTGTGTGTCCCATGCTCTATCTTTTGCAGACCTGAATGGGGTCTTACTATAGAAGTTTGTGGATGGTTCCAGCACACAGCTGTTTGATGACACTCGTCTTGTGACTTGCTTTGCGGCTTTGCGAATAAGCATGCATGATGCATACATGTAATTGCATATTTGCAATATCCCGGTGATTGATCTATCATTAAGTGTAGTATGCAGCGGGAAGAAACACAAGGATACGGTATCAAGTTTGACCAGCAGGATGAAGTACAAAGAGAAACACATAGAAGATTTAGTGGAGAGTCAAACACATACTGTAAATAACACAATAAACATGCGTCAGGTAGTGTAATTTTGTTCGTTCGTTGGCTTTATGTGCTTTTGTGTTTGGGTTTGTAAGTTCCTAAACCTCCAAAACGTAACACACAGCACTAACAGTGTTCCAACCAATGAACTTGACATTGGCGTTCTCGAGCATCTCGAAGCGCTTTGGGCACCACCTTTACACTCAATCGCTTGTTCAAACCCAGAGTTTTGTTTTGCTGTTCATGGATTGCCCGTTGTATTGCCCCGCGTGCAAAGGCCGCTGTTAGTCGAGCACAACTGAGGATGAACCCTGAAAAAAACATGCAAAAACTTGACACAATTGATGATATTTATACACCAGCAGTCACGAAGGGGTGCCTATAAAGCGCTCCTTAGGGGGGGTGTTCAATTAAGACCCCTTTGTGACTGCTGGTGATAACATCTGACATGTGGTAGGGGTGACACAAATTCAGTTCTTTTCTGATGGAAGTCCTGGGATGAACCACTCCTGTTAGCATGAACCCTGGTACACGTCTCCACCAACCACCCCTTGCTCAGCAGAGGCATCTTCCGCTTGACCTTGTTTTTTAAGAAACCACCACTGGAACGCGTGTCAATGCGTGTCATTCGCGTGTCGGTGGTTTTCAAGGGGGTGCCCATTAACCACTCACTTAAACAAAAGGGGTGTCTATTAGGCACCCCTTTGGTGCGTGTCGGGTGGTTTTTGCATACCCCCAGTGCGTGTCAAAACGTGTCGGAAATAACCCATTTTTGGATTATAGTAGATTTGCAGAACACCTGGCTCAACTAGCATTTTGCACGTGAGCCTGCCTGTTGGCGGCTTCCAGAGTCAGCACGAAGAGCCGCTGAATGAGAAAATGGGTGGATGGGTTTGGGTGAGGGATCGACTACTTTGCCTCCAACTCGGTTTAAGATATATATCTTTTCTCATGTTCCAAACAATGACCATCAAAGGGGTGCCCAATATCCACTCACTTAGAAGATCTCAAAAATAAAAACCAAAAAGCATTCCTTTGTGACTGCTGGCATACTGTATATCATACATATTTTTTTTTTTTGGTTGGGAGACGGCCAACGGCAACAAACAAAGATCAGCAGTGTCTTCTTGTGGCCCTATGGTTGATCCTCAAAAACAGTGGAAAACAAAAGGTTCAGGTGGTGGGATGCGGTGGGTGGGTGAGTGCGTGGGCCATACACTGTATATATACACAATCGGGGTTGGAATTAAGTGGGTACCCCGGGGGTAGCGATTTTATAGTGCTAAAATGCTGGGACCAACCCCCCTCCAATCATGGTCACTTTTTGACCCTATAAAATTGAGGATAACATAGGAAAAGAGTCCAACAACAAAGATTCAGCTCTATAGAATTGAGGGCCATTAGTCTGTCAAAAGCTGTGGAAAATGGGGGATATTGAGGATTTTGCTCTACCAAAATGCAGGTCCTGAGGTACTCCCGAACAGGTGTGTTTCAATAGGAGTAAGAAACTGGTTCTCTATAGAATCAAGGTAGAGGGTTCTGAAGAAAACATAAAAATGCAACTTTCGAGGAAGGCATTGATTTCCCAGTTGGTAGGACCACAAATCTATAGAGAATATAGAAGGTGTTATGGAGAGGTAAGGATCTGTGATTTTATAGTCTCCTATAAAAAACTCTCGGAATCAGGCGAGTTTTGAAGTCCAAACATTGAAAATACATCAATCTCTATAGAATTGCAGTTCCTAATATGCAAAATCATGCTAGTAATTATCTATAGAATCAGTATGTCTGAGGCACCCAAATCCACTGCACCATCACTTGAAAACCTTTATAGAATCGAGCTTGTAAAAAACAACAATTCTCTATAAAATCGAGAAACTTGCGGATGAGGACTTTCAAGCCTCCATGAGAGCCAAGAAAAAAGTTGCTAAAACATCGCCCCGCGATTTTGCAGAGGAAATTCCACCCCCTATTATACACAGTTGTATTGGTAATGCTATCAGCATCTCATTGCACGGACATGAGGCAGACCGACCGTCATGAAAACAAAAAAACCAACGAGGGTATCACCTGCTCAGGAACGTAGCATCACTCAAGTCCTGCAAACAATGATCCTCAGCACTTGGCCTCCTGCGCCCTAAAGAGAATTCCTCGGAAAACAGTTCTTTGCAAACACCCAGGCCTCGAAAGAGTTGCAGGAGCTCATGGCACCACTCACCACAAGTCAACTCAACAAGGTCTTGTTGTCCAGATAGCGGGAGATTTCACTTAAAGTGTAGGAAGAGGTGCCTGTGTGCGCTTGGGGCCTGGGTGCCCGCGGCTTGGGTGCTGGTGTCACTGCAGGGTGTTGCTGCCGCTGCAGGGTGCCGCTGCTCCAGATGTCTATGGCAAAGTGCGCTTTGGAGCCTGGGTGCTGGTGCCGCTGCACCAGCGCTAGCCACAAATATAAGTACAAGTAGTGCTCTCCGGGGTTGCTAAAAATCTCTACACCCATTACACCAACACATGTTTCTTTTCTTCACGTGCTTTACGAGTGCTCTCTCCGCTCGTCCACGGCGTCCCGCTCCGTCCGCGGTTCGGTTCCGAGTCACCGATCCGCGGAGGCTGCGACCTGAAACGAGGCGCGGCGACGAGACCTGTGTAACTTGTGTGTACTTTGGTGGCATGTGACGATATGTGACGGTATGTGCTTGTTTGATCTTGCTTGTTTGTTTGGTTGGTTGGTTGTGTTCCCCTCTGCCTCCCCCCAGCTATGACAGAGTTCAGAGTGCAGGTAGTGAATACATGTGATTTTGCAAGGGTGCCGGGGAACCAAGAGCTGCGAACGTCTGGTCCGGTGGAGATGCAGGTTGCCCAAACACACCAGATTGCCCGAAGGGCTCTCTCTCTCTCTCACTCTCTCGGCATCTGGCTACAACGCAGCTGTTTCGTGTAGTCCTCAAATTGCCCTGTCGCAGTGAACATCACCCTCCACCAAGGGTTTCTCATCCATGGGTTCCACTTTCCTACCACGTGTCAGTCGAGTCAATGCAAACTAACGGTCAGACCGAAGGGCTGATCCGTCGGAAGATCCGTTTTCGCCCATGTAAACAGCTTTAAAGGGCCGGTCGCAGCCTCGCAGCCTCTCCTTTTGATCCAGTCATGAATGAACAACTCATACAAGATCATACAAGCGTGTGCTCCAAAAAAAGAGCATGCGGGAGTAGTGTTGAGTAGCTCCGAAACTTCTCCCAACCACCCAGAAAGGAAACTTACTAAGACTAAGACACGCAAACACAAAAAACTGCCAAATCCTCCCAAGAGTGTGAGATGAGAAGATTCTGCCAAAGAAGTCAGATTCAAGGACGAGTACTACTATAGTATACTGAGTATTACTTAGTCAATGGAGAGCGGCCGTGCCTTCCGCTCAAAAAGCGCTCGGAGATGCGAAGTGCCTGGGGCACTCGGCTTCAGATCGTCGACCTCCTCTCCATCGGCGTCCACGTTTTTGGTTTCACCAACGGGTTTCACACATGCATGCGGGGGTTCTGTGATTATGTGAAATGTGGCTTCTAAAGGTCTCATTCGATCAGGACATCAACAATCGTCCCACATGGGGCCCACAAGGCCTGGAGTCATTCAAATGCTATGCTGATTGCCACATATTGCAAACTACTCACTAGAATGATGATATACAAATATGATGCAAATGTGTATCAATATGATTGAACGTTCAACCAACGCATCATGCATACATCGGCCCTTTCCACTTCCCGCATGGGACATGGGCTCCGAAGTTTCGATTGCCAAAGCGCGGTTTCATTTTTGCGTCACATGTCACTTCAAAAAGACCCGCGTGTTTGGTTACTTTTGCTGATCTGAAGAAGCATGTCAGAAGGAAAAACACCCGACCTCAATCGATCTCATGTGTCCGACCATGGTCCAAACCGACGCAAGTCCCAAAGCTCACGGCCTGGAGCACTGCCCATCTCCAGCCTTGTGGAAGGAGACGAGGCGCCCAAAACTAAAAATTGTTCTACTTGCCATGCTATGCCAATAGGATCCAATAGGGCTTGCCCTGGTCATCACATCGTGCCTCACGGTGGTTGTGATGCTTCCGACTATTGAAGGAGTTGCCGGTCCAGTCCCCAGCCGCTCTGGGAAATTCTGTTGGATGGCAAACCTGGAAACCATCTGAAAAACAAACTCCCCCACCCTAAATCAGCCCCGCCCATCTGTCTTAGAAGACAACATCTCACCACCCCATTATGCTGCACACTTGACCACTCTGAACAACTCAAAGTCCGCTTCGCCGCCTTTCCTCCAATCCTTCGGCCTCGTCGAGGCCGAGCGCAGTGGCGTCGGAGTCGCCGCGGGGCTCGCCGCACGGAACGCCCGCTGCAAAGCTCCGTGCGCCGAGCACTCCCCGACATCCGCGGATGCGTCCGCGGACGCGAGGGCGCGCGGCGCAGAAGGGGAGGGAGCGGCACCTCAGGCATTGAATTGCAGGAATTCGGTGCTGGGTGATTTATGTTTGGAGTTTTGGCATCGAAGCTTCTTTAGAACCCGGTCCCGGAATGTGGAGAATCCCGGATTGAGTCGACAACACCTGACTCAGCCTTACTTTGACCTCACTGTTGGGCCCTGGTCGAGCATCCCGCATCAAAGAAACCGAAGTATACGCCCAGGGCAAACAGTCCGGAATCCCCACATGTGGCCCGTGTTGATATTGGTGGAAGGAACAAGAAATAATGGGCCACAAGGCTGCAAAATTTGTAAGTCCATGCGGCCTTTCGCTCATGCTCAATGCCTCTTGAGGCAAGCTTAAAGAATAAGCAAACCGAAACGCAAGAGTTGATTGACAGCTAAAAACAATTGATGACAAAACCTCTTCCCCCTAGCATTCACCAACAACAAGGCTATGGCTACGTGGCTATTTGCTGCATGCTACTTACTACGAGTACTATGGCATCAACTCCAGCTTTCTGGTCCCACAGCAAAACCAAATATCAAACCATACAAATCCCCCAGCAATACTTGCGGCAGTCCGAGCCCATCCCAAGACCCTTCAGTTGAACTGGGTGTCCAGGATATTTTTGGTATGTCATGGTGACCAGTGCTGGGGCGCATCCGCGTGCCATGCTGGCTTGATCAAGCGTGCCAAGCAATAAACCTTTTCCCTTTTTGCCCACGAAGCAATGTCACATACATGCGGTCTACAATTGATCGGAGCAAGGAGATGTGGGCGGTAAGCTGGAGGGATGAGGGATGGAGATGATGGAGTGAAGTCAAGGGTCAAGCATTTTGAAGGATTTCAAGGTGGTTTGGCGCATTTCGACTCCAAACACGCGTAGGCCTAGACATATTCACAAAACTGGATGGCTGCGGGGCAGTTTGCTCAGAACCAGGCGCCTGTGACATGAAGCATTACTGTATTAGCCAGCTAAGCCAAAGGCCACATTGAGCACCGACCTGGACCTACCTTTCATATAGCATTGTTCTCAAGGCCATGCTCATCTGCAAAGGGATGATGCTCCATTTGTGTCCAGAAAAATCTCAGCCTTCCTCACCTCACAGCAGCAGCACTTCGGCGGGACAACCGCCGGAAAAACGAGAACTCAGCGAGACCGGTGATGCCCAGACCTGTCCACAGTGCGAGAACGGGCATCCTGAATCCGATTCTGAGGCATCGGTTCTACTCCTCAGGGCATTCCTGCGCACTACTATACTATAGGAATCCGTACGACATCTTGGCAGGATCTATTTCCAACCGTTTGCTCTTCAAAACGGTCAAAGCTCTGTGAGAGATCTATACTGGCAACTATTCCTCCAGCTCACAACTGTTCGCCAACTTCCCATTTTTGGCCACTCTTCTTGTGTGTTCTCTTGGCGCGAAAGCATCACTTCGTATGTGCATTCCAACAAGCAAACCCCCCCAAGACCCTGAAAGAAGGAACTTGAGAGGGGGGCCGGGGACGAATGGTTGGTAAAATTGGGAAGGTGCACACAGGTTGGTAAAGCTGGGATGGTTGTAAAGGTCAGGGAGTTCTGCGCCTCAGGTTGCTGAGGTACTCAACCAAACTCATTGGTTAGGGGTCCCCCTATTAGCCCACCGGTTGCACATTTGTAATTATGATCACAATTTTTGCTCAGTGAGCCGTGAGCCATCTCGGAGGTTCCAGCGGATCAATTCCGTTGAAAGGGCGGGGTCCATCATTTGCTCATGTCGACCATGTCGAGCATTAGTAACATCGAAGACCGGCTACCAGGGGTTCGCGACTGCTTCTGTCCACCAAAAGGTGTCTGCGCAGGTAGTGCATGACGATCTAATGGGTTTTTAGATTCTAGATCAACATGAGGCGCGGCTTGTATCAAGAACCGACCCCGCATCAGCTCAAAGGGGGGCACACTTCGTAGAAAACGATCCCAGCAATCCACATTGGTTATAGCAAGGGCTCTACACGGGCAATCGGACGAGCCTTTCAGCGATCGGAGGCCCAACGATAACCACACGGATACACCGACTGGCACGTGAAGAGGTCCCTGGCGCGCGTGTTGGCTGACTCTCACGCAGAATGCTCCAGCAGCTTCAGATCTATTCTCCGCCGCTCCTCCAGGGGGATGGTAGCTTGACGATGGTTGGTCAACATGCCAACCAAAACTAAGGAGTGAACAGCAAAAGCTAAGAGCCCCGTCCCTGGCCCATTCCGAAGGACTGTGAACAAGGAGAGGGACAACCCACTAGTTCACTGCAGGGTGTTCGGTGCACATGCCACATGCAAACGATTGACAAATACAACGCCCCATATTGAGATGTAACGCCATTCTGGTAGGGGGTTCCTTGAATCAACGAAGTAAATCTAGTCGAGGACGCTGTTGACGAGGAAGTGGCTGGACGAAACATCCCTAGGATCCTCGGGTGCTTCTCGCAGCCAACCACGAGGAAGCCCTTTACGTAGAAGTTTGCAAACGGCTAGGCAGCTGTCCTTGTTTGGTGGAAAGAAAGCTCTTGATGCTCTTGGAAATGTAGCCTAAACTAACAAACAAGGAACTCAAAACAAACGCAACTAACGAGGAAACTGTTTCCTTCACCGGAAAATGACATCCACACCCTCCGCTGAAGTGTCTAACGAGGAAGTTAGCTGAACAACTATTTCCTCGTTCGTTGTTGATTCTGGGAACAGCAATGATTGTGGCACAACACCAGTGACCAGTGGAAATCCAACACACACATGGAACTAGCCCTTTGATGAAATTGGACCATTTCTGGTACCAAGCGCAATCGATACTGGACACTTTCCATTCCCACGAATAGGGCTGTGGGCCATGATGTTTTCCAAATGCAACCTATAGAAGTCCTGGAAACGGTCATAGCCGCTTTGGTGATCTGTTTGTGGGTCGGCCGAGCCTGTATGCTATATCCAACGACTATGAATTGTGATCTTGAATTTTAACCTTCCCTGAACCTGATAGCTGACATAGATCCCGCCCTGCTAGTGGGCGCGGGTAGTTGCTGAACTACTTAGGGCCTTAGGGTGGGATCACCTGAGTCACCTGTCCCACAGCTGGCGAGGTGGTCTCTTCAGTTCACAGACCTTGGTTGAGTAGACCTAGGTGGAGTGTCCTGAACCTAGTGGGCACTGGTCCCGGAGTCCCGGAAGTCCAAATGAAAGCACCTTATGCACCTTCAACTATATAGTTCATACTATGCAATTATATTTAAATATAGTATTCTGTCGATTTTACATATGTCACAAAAATGGTTACTGTCCAGAAGGCAAAAAACACAACAATGAGTTCAAACTCATGGCCAGGACAACTCCACATGGCCAGGCCAAGGTGTTCGATGACCGACACCTTCAGTGCCCAGGTGTTCCACATCTGGGCTCATCTCCTCGGGGCTCATCTGCATCACCGATGCTTCGCCTGCGTGACTTGGTGCGGAGTCGGCTGTCCCCGAGTCCGTGTGGAGAACGGCTGTCCCCGTTTTCGGCTGTGTGCCGGGCTGGTCCTATAAACTATAAAAACAACCCATCCAGTGTATTCTATGAGTCAAAGTGGACATGTTCAGCAAAGGTCTTTAATGATCTTTAATGATGTAATGAGGGTTTTGAAGAATAGGTCTGCAAAAAGGATCATCATTCTTGAACTGGCGAATCATCGGAGAGCCAATCATGTCCTGGAGGTGAGCACAACACAAAACGAAGTTCAGTCCGTATGGGAATCAAGGGTGTTGGCTGTCTCAGCTTAGAGGCAGGATCAACCAGGTCCCTCCCACGAACGCTACCAAGAGCAACGAATTCCGAATAGGTGCTTGGTGAAGATTGATGCTTCATGACTTTCCTAGTCCTGTGTGCTCGTGGTCACTAAATCATATAGTACGAGTACTCAGGTCAAATGACACAGAACAATTGAGGTCACATGACACGCAACTTTTCCAGGGAAAAGAAGAAGTGTGAACAAACGCATCATTAGCACGCACTCATGACGATTCATCATTGTATTGTCATTGTGTTTTTTTGTGTGTATTCCGCTGTGCTCCTGGGAAAGGTAGTAGAGCTAGTGACAAAGCACATATGACAGGACCAGCACTTGTCTTTTTCATTTGCACTCCACATATGTCGTCGCGGTAGTTTGCGGTTTGTGGAGTTGTGTGCATTAGCTGTTTTTTGGGGGCATGGACTGGAACCCCCCAGCCATAAATCAACCAAATATATCATATATATATATATATGTATTGTAAAATTTACCTGGAATGAGCATGGGCCGTGATATCCAGCCCCACCCATTCCAGGTAGATGTTCATGTTTCTTAGGGTGGTCCAAACCCTAACCCTCATCATGTTTCCTTTCATTTTTGTTGATCCTTTTGATCGTCTGTCGTGGCCCTGTGTCACTGGGCAGGCTAGCCATCCCGAGAGACATGCTAGTAAAACACATTAAGAATAAGTTTGGGAAACAAACTGCAGTGAATCTGGGGACAAGACTTAGGCCTTATGTAATTGAAGCTCACCTTTATGCGTATCCATTCTTAGAGTCCCATCCTATGTACCATTATTTTTTGTATCCGTTGTTTAAGCGTGTGAAGCTAAGGCACCAAGTATTAGGTCATCATCCTTTCTATGCAACAACAATTGCTTTGAAGACAGTTGGAGACGACCTCTGGTATCTCTTGTTTGTTGCGTTTTACCGTTTTGTTATTAGTTTTCGCCTCGTGACATGCAACATCATTTTATATACTCTGGGCATAAGTAAGCAAAATCCCCGTTGGAACGGGACTGAAAAAGGTGGCACCGATGTGCCGATTCTGCCCGAATGCAAATCCGCTTCCCGACCACCAGCGCAGTGCACCAGCACACCTGCCGCGCGGCGTGTGCGGCATGTGCTCCAAACCTGGCGTGCGCGGCGTGTGCTCCAAACAAAAGGAAAGGCAAACTCCTCCAGTGACTCCTAGTGCAAAGCAACTCTTTCTGTGCAACACTAGCAACTTGATGGACATTACAGTAAAGCATCCTGAACACCCTTGGACTCAGGAATACGTGATTCTATATACAAATCAACCTGCAACTTCTTTACGTTGGCACACCTTCTTTGCAGTCCAGGACCGCCTTGTGAGGGCCCAAGTTCTGGCTCTCTACGTCGAGCTCGGCCATTGGGCCATTGGGCTGGGAAAGCCATCTCTAAGTAGTGCAACGGGGTGACAAGGGAGGACCAAGTGCTCCAAATCTCCAAGTCCAGAAAAAGGAACCGTCCAAAAGGTTGCCGATGGTCCGTTGCAAAGCTACCTTGCCTGAAAACAGCCTGGTCAATCTTAGGAGGAGGCAGCTAAACACGAGATTCATTTCCGAGCTCATTCATGCAAATCATTGGTGAGAAATCAAACGTTTCCTAGCTGGTCTGCTGCCCGTTTGAATCACTCAGATTCCCAAAATGCTCCTAGATGTCCGATTTTCCTATACGTTCTCGCTGGACTTTGGCATCTCCCTTCCCAATAGCTTCCCTTTCCCCTCAAACTTGTTCTACCAAATTCTCCAGAGTTCGGGCGAATAGAAAAGAGAATGCAAGGAGACAACAAGCCATGCAGAAAATGAATCATCGTCTACGGAATGTGAATGGCATTGAATAGCCAAAGTGACAACAAAAACGATTCAAAATCATTGAAGCCGAGCACCGGTTGCAACGCAACATCCTCCTCCCAGTGACTATGTTCCACTTCCATGTCAGTAAGTCAGTCCTTGGAATGGATCAGCAATAGGTCAGCATGCTTCCGTTCATCCGCCTAACCGCGAGGACGCACCGAAGCACGGAACGACCGAACATCGCGTCTGAAGGCGAGGTACGGTCTGTTCCACAAACCGGGACCTGCAAGGAATGGAGAATGGACTGCCGCATCAAACAGTGTAAATGGAGGCCTGAAATGTATTGCATCCTCCAGAGAGCTGATTACTAGCTCCGCACTCCAGTCACGTCTTGCCGCAAAACAGCTGTGGTTAATCATCAAAAAAATGGTAAGGAGAGTCCCAGTTGTTCTCTTATATACAGGATATATATATATTTATACAATATCATACATATATATATATATATATGTACAAAAGTGTTAAACGCTTCCATACATTGGCACGTGTGCTTTCAATGGCGTTTCAACAGCACCCCACATGAGTATGACCATCACTGATTTCCTGACGAAGTACTCAGGCACACTCCAAACCCAAGACTCTTCACTTGCAATGAGCCGATCCGAAAGCCACAAAGGCTCCAGTCAGTTTGATTGGAATGTACGCTGTTGTATATAAACCTCCCCCGCCTAGATGGTGAAACATCTTTAGTCTTATTATTCTTTGGGGGGGTGGATTCATAAGCCAGCTTACATCAGTTCCCCCATCATTCTCATCTTTGACATCGCTGAGAAGCAGTGTCACTTTCGTTCGAAGACAATCCTAGCCAGAGCTGAAGGAAAGTTGTCAACCAAGTGGAATCTCCTATCTGTCATGCTAACAAGGGTTCTATATTTCTTGTTTTTTTGGGGGGGGTCAGTCCAAAGCAATGTTCCCAATACCAAAACCAGTTCCGGCTCTTTCATGGGGTGCGTCAGCCAGGTGGCGGTCATGCCACAAGCCTTCGTGAAAGATGTCCATTTGACGTGATGTTCCTGGGAAATCACACAGAATCGAGGATGTGAGTGCTGTTCTTCTTCCTGGTGTTCCGCATCGAATCCAGGGATCCCTGTGCTCGGAACCTTCCAGCAAAAGTCTTACTTTTCTCCAAGTCACCCATCAATGCATCAGGCTTTGAGACAGAAACCATGTACATACCGTCCATATGATTATGGCTGAAACATGGGTTACCGGGTACCACCTTGACTCACTGGGTAAGGCAAAACAACTGTAGTCTGGACTCTGGACTGAATAATGCAAGGTAAATCAAGGTAATGCAAGTCGGAGATTGTCAAAGCGGAACCAAACATGGTCATCCAGCTTGGTTATATACAGCAAAAACATGTAACAACACCAATGTACGCTCTCTGTTTGTAATTCCGGATCTTACGAACTGATTTCTGGTATGTTCTGCATTCTGCCTCACATCGCGTTTCATCTTCGTGCCATTCTATGTTTCAGTCATTCTGGAAGCGTATTATTGTCGGCTTCGTTTCTCTCAGGCAAAATTTGTCTACACTGTGTACATTCTCCGCTGTTTTTTACACCTCAGACCGCACTACTTCATGTTATTGGGCCGGTGATGCCTGCATGACAATTGCGCGAGACGGGCATGAAAACACGACGGTGGCATAGCCGCTCAATTCAAGAATCGGTGTTCTGTTCTGTTCTATGCCTTTTTCCGCCAGGTGCCTCTTGTGCACAACTGCACTCATGATTGCAGCCAAGCGTCCCTAGAATCCCGCTGCAGGGAAGGGCGCCCAAAGCCCCCTTGGCAAAGCTTGCGGCCAAAGGCCTGACCCTTGTGAACATCAAGCAAAATCAAATATAAAAAAGAAAGGAGAAAGGGAGCGAGCCAAAAGTTAGTTCATAGTTTATATAAAGATTTAAAAAAAATATATAACTATATATATTATATATATACGATGCTGGACTAGACTGCACATTAGTGAACGAACCTTTTCAAAGAGAATAGGTCCCCCATGGTCCCCGACATGGCCCCCATGGTCCTCACGTGCCCAGCCTCCCTTGCCCGCTGTCCGCCATGTCCAATCCTGCCACATCCCGCCTGAGCCCACTTCCGGGGCTGAGCAGCGGGCGGGTGCACAGCCCTGAGCGGCTTGGAGCAGAGGAGGGGAGGACGCAAGAAGGCTCCATGGCGTGCATGGAGCTAAATGATGTTCATTATAAACTTTAAAAGCAAACTCTTCTTACTAGTAGTAAGGATGCTCCTAGTAGTACGGCCAGGAGCCCCTAGTAGCGTCCTTGCTCCTAGTAGCGATGCCAGGAGCCCCTAGTAGCTTCTTGTTACTAGTAGTAAGGATGCTCCTACTGATCTGCCACACACACAAAATGTTCATCTTCAGGTGTGCTTTCGACCGTATATTCATCTGCTTGACACTTGCAAAAAGGTGCCATACCAGCACTGCAGCAAGGATCTATCTCATGTAGGCTGGCACTTGACGCCGTCGTTGAGCAGTTCGACGTTGATCTGCCAAGCCTGGACTCAAAGGACGAAACCAATCCCAGTCAAACTCTTTGGGCAACCCCTCTATCGCACACATTTTGAGACATCAACAGGGAACAAAAATAGGGGGAAAAAAACGGTGCCTTGTCCAGTTCCATGGGCCTAGAAGCATCTGATGGGGACTCATGGTATGTACCCATCGTCTGAGGGTGAGGAGCATGAAATCATGAAGAGGGCAAAAATGTTACAATGACATACCGGTTAGTTAGTTTTATGCTTGGGCTGCGGTTTACCATTGTATAGTGACATCACAAACCGGTTAAACAATGAGCATCATTGAGCATCATTCCAGCAGATTGGAGACCATTCTGGCCATGGCTGAGGTCATCCCAATCAACTCTCAAAGGCCTTTCTCTCGTGTGGCCGGTCCCTCCAAGTGTTTGGGGGCCCATCTCATCGAAAGTCGGTGACACCAAACAGACATATATACTGCATTCAAGAAAAGAACTAGACGACGAGTGGCCCGAAAGCATTTTTCATCACGTAGGAAGTCAGAGTGCGAGTTATCCGGTAAGTGTGTAGTGAGAAGTGTTAAGTCGAGTGAGTTGAGGTAGTGTGTGGGTTTCTGTGCGTGTGTCTATGTCCGTGTGGAAACGAGTCTGCGTATGTGTGTTCGTGAAAGTTGAGGGAGTGTGTGGGTGTCTGTGTGCGATGCGGCCTCCCAAACCCCCCCACCAGCGGCCAAGCGGTGACAGCCCAGCTCATCGTCGTGAGCATTTGGGCTGCTGGTAAGGGGAGAAGCAGCGTGCACGGCGCCAGGAAAAGCTCACGGAAAAAAACGAACCGGAATGAGGACACAAAAGTGCCAAGGCAGGTGCGCCAGAAGTGTCTCGAAGCAGTGACCTGTCAGAGGAGATGAACGAAGTAGCG